ATACCCCCACCCCCCACCCCACCCCCTGGGCAGTACCACTGACTGAAGTGTCTTTAGGCCATTCCCAGAGGGGGATATTACATGTTCTTATGCAGAGTAGAATTTTGTAAACGGGCTGATTTGTCAATGTCATGCTCATACTGTACCGGAACAACTACAACATACATGTACAGGGGGAACTGCAGCATGCTCCTTTTTTCCCCTCATCCTTACTATCGTCATTTTCCCTCTATACTTCTTTTGTATGTTCGTCACTCTCTTGTGAACTGCTATTTGCGGGGTGACTTGATAGTCGACGAAGCAGACTTTGTGTAGTTGAGGCTAGAGAGGTGAACAGAGTAAGCCTGATTCCCTGTTTGGACTTCTCCTGTTGATATCCACCCCTTGGCGCTCATATGACCTTAAGCAGTTGCGAACGCCGTAAAACCTTGCTAAAACTAAAACATATTTCATGTGTACACATGTAGTGTATTATTGTTCTATCAGAATTAGGGAGAATTGCGCCTGTCTACTGTTAATTTCTTCGATATTCGCGAGTCACGAGTCATTGATTTATTCATAGTGGAACTCATGAATTGAATAGCAGTAAATGCTTCTTAAAGGCATGTTTGTGGCCCTTGTTGGCCCCACTCAGGGACGAAACGTCGACGTAATTATTCAACAAACACTGCTTCCATTCTATACAATGTAATGTAGGACTTACGGACATTATTATCTCGGGAAAACCTCTACCCTTCAATACTGTAAAAGTCACATTCATACGTTTATGAAGTTACCAATCCTCCCTCTCTTCGGGCCACCCTCGAAATTATAATAATTACAAACCCTGGTTCTAACAAATAACAATCAAGCTGGTCGAGTCCACCTCGAAAGAGTAAGCTTATTGTCAGTTTTAAAAAAGGTACCAGATTTTTTTTTCCTGACGTTTCAGCGACCAATAAATCTGTTCTTGGCATGATTACTGCATCTATTCCTTGTCACGAGAGACACGTTTAAAAGCAAAAATTAATAATGGCATTGTCACCGCTGCTTCTGTTAAAAAAACCGCAAGTGCTATATATTAGCCTTCTGTTCGTATATTAACCTTAATATTTTTAGTTAAGTTGACATTTTAAAAATCTTAATACAAGTAGCTCTACGACCATAACACATAAAGAAATTAGAAGCCCACGTTTTGCTCAAAGTATGAATAAATATTGAAAGTAATTTTATTTTCTCGATTGTTTTTGGAGCGTGTACAGTATACGACAACTATGTGGAAAACTAGTAAGCCCAACAAATAAGCATGAAGGAGTATGACAGGGATGCTTGTTATCTCCCCTTCTTTTTCATGTGGACATAATTACTCAAGATATGCTAACCAAAGCTGAATAAAAGCCTAATTGAACCCCTGCATGTTTAAGTCGCCCAATGTCTTTTATTTATCCAAGTCTCCAAAGCCAAACTAAGTCAACCGCTGAACTGAACTACAGCTGTGAGAAATTTGACATGAGAATAAACACATCAAAAACAGAAGTTATGAAAATTAGTAGAATCTAGTCAGCCGAAATAAAAGTCCCCTGAACATGCATGTCAATAACCTACGATCAGTTCACAGAGAAATACTTATTCGTGTTAATATTCCATTATAAGTTTAAAATTTCCTAGTGAAGAAAATGTTTAATATGTCCCGCAGGCTCATGACCTAATGCAGTCGCTAGCGCCAAAAACACTAACAACGAACAACAACAACAACAAGTTTTATTTTCAATAGAAAAAAGTACGCCTACAGCCCGTGCATGGTGTTCCCAAGCGGTCACCTATCTAAGTACTAACCGACGTTGCTTGACTTCGGTGATCAGACGAGAACCGGTAGGTTCAACGAGGTATGGCCGTAGACCTATACGTTCTTACTGACCGTCTAGCCGTAGACGCAAAGTATAGATCAGATTAGGAAGCAAAATGATTCGTACTTCGTGCCCGTGCCACTCATTTCTTGTGACGGGCGGTGACTCATGGTAGAGGGGGGGG